CGCCCCAATAAATTTCACCTGAGTCGGCGTTGTCACGCCTCTGCATATGTCTCTCCCGCAGCCATCCTTCGTTGCTTCCTTAATTTATGTGAGCGAAAGTATCTATGCATCTACCTCCGCGTGTGCATGGAGGCATGTATCTGTGTGTGGTCTTTTGAAAACTTGCAGGTTGTCTGGTCGGATTTGTACAGTTGAGAATTCACAGTCAAAGGAACGCAGCCCAGGGCTGAGTGAGGACGAACATTCTCGCGAAGCGAACGGAAGGAAGTACGGATTCCCACGACAGGAGCGGGGATGCATGAGGGAAATCGAATAAAAAATCCATTTGCCAGGCGTCGCGTTCTCCCTTCCCTTTACCTTTTTCTTCCTATTTTTTTTTTTTGGGGTAAATGTGGCTATTTTTCACTCATATTTCAGCGGGAATGGAATTACAAAACAAATTACAGAATCCCAAATACAAAATAAGAGGCATATTTCTCACTTTTATGATGTTTACTGGACACGCCCCCAGCGAACCCCTGCTTCTGGTGACCTTTCACCCTTATTAGAGCAGCGGGACAGCGCAGCCTTTGCCTCTGCGATGTGTTTTTTTTTTGTAATTTTGAATTTCGAATGGAAATTTACATAATTTATGGGCAGCAACAAAAGTCACACACAGATACGGGACCCTGAAGCAGGAGCAGTGGCCGTAGCATATGGCAGGACCGCATTTTTTTCATTAAAAATATGTTTATAATTTACGATTTTTTAAACCTCGCGACAACAAATGAGACGCAAATTATTTTCGGTTCATTTGGAGTCGACTTGGTCCTTGATTTGGTCAGACTCGCGCCTCATTAAGAGCTCATTAAAGTCTCGAGAGTCGAGGAGACCGCAGCGCCAGTTATTCTTGAGCATTTTAACACGTTTTTAATTTTAATGCATTTTATGGCGCCCCTTTACGATGTCTTCGCCAGAGCCACAGCCAGAGCCAGAGCCAGATTCCCCTCCCTGTCAATGGATGCTCCCGCGGGCTGACTTTCACTTGTTGACTGCTGCTCCGCGGCATCCTCGTCAACGTCACCGCACATCAGGACATCAGCACGTCAAACTTCATTAGGAAGGGAAAGTGGAAAGCATGTGTCTGAGGATGGAGGTCTGAGGTCGGAAACAGAGGGTGAGGCGAGGGTTGGCTGCTGCTGCTGCTGCTGTTCATTGTTTTTATGGTTTGCGCTAATTAGTTACGAAGTCATAGAATTTTACAGGAATTGCTCTCGAGGACTGACAACGAAGTTATCGTCATGTTGCCTGTAATCCTCCCCTGCTCTGCTCTGGTCTGAGGCAGTCATCGTTTGTGGTTTACGCCGTCGGCATAGAGGAGGAAAGCAATACGTTTATTCCAACAATTTGTGTAAACTCTCGCCACAAATTAATCAGAAGGGAGCCATCTCCAGAAAACTGACCACTTGACCAGGCCCGCAGACGGACTATTCATAAGTCTCTGGAACGCAGCGAATCACAGCCAAAACCGAGAACCCAGAACCCAGAACCCAGAATGCAACCAATTACAGAGAAACCCATTTTACAAAGTGATAGACCAGGATCCAAGATGAGCCCGCTCCGAGAAAGATGTTCGCCGAGTCCATAAATTTGTGGGCGACACGGACATAATTATGCAGACAGGCAGGCGGTCTTAAGGGGTTATGGTAAAGGGAAGAGTTACCCCTGGAATCCTGTATTTTAAATTGAAATAAGTATAAAGAAACGGCTATAAGATACCCACTACTCGGGAACCGCTGGAATTAATGTTGCTGCTCGTCTGGCAGATTTATCGATTCGATTCTTGCTTAAGAGCATATCTAGCAGATACAGGTGATCAGACTGGCAGACTCACACGAACTGGAATATACCCTTTCGATGCTACGTTTACCGGGTATAAATAGCACGCCCCGCTGTTATAAATCAAAGTCAGTGGGCTTTGTGTGGGATTTGCCGAAAGGAATTTGTAGACATTAAGAAAGTCCAACTTCTACATTAACTCCTTCTGCCAATCGTAGTCTTGTCTTCCTGTTGCTTGCATTCTGTGGAATGGTGGCTTTCAGGCATTTGAATAAAGTTGGACCTTGTTTGGGGAAAGTGTCGCTGACATGTTAAGGCTTCTCCCAGATTTATGGCCCTGGCCAAGAAAAGAAAGGACCTAGAAGGGCGGAGGAGGAGTGACAGCTGGAGGTGGAGGCGGAGGCGTATGTCCTGAGCCAATTTAAAAATTGAATTTCAAATCCTCCTGCTCCGCTGCCGGCTAATCATGCATCAGATTGGTTCAGTTCGACACATGTGTGCGGTTGTTAGATCTCTTATCGTGGCGAAATTTTGACACATGCCACACCAAATTCCGTTCTCCATTGTCTCCGGCACTCTCCGAGGGGCCTAATGCGATTATTTGCTGTGTTTTTGCCCCAAATTCTGCAAAGCAAAGGAAAGCCATTTGAGCATCAGAGCTGCTGAATAAATTGGATTGTAGATGCTCATAACTGTCACACATGGCTCGTGCTTTGTCGACACCAAACCACCCAAACACAAAATGAACAAAAACATGAAAACAAAAAAGAAAAGAAAAGTGAAAAGTGAAAAGGGAACATAAAGGTTGAGAAGACTAGCCGATGAATGGAATACCCTTGCACTGCTAGGTCTACTATTCCATAGTTTACGATACAGATTACGAACAGATACTTCAACCATTAAGCCTCGATAGATTTCACATTCGACCCCTTGCAACTTGGCAAAACAATAGTCCCCTTTTGGCAGGGTGTTTAGAAAAATTCAGCGTAGTTTTTTCAATAAACCCATCAAAAAGTACGAGTGCTGATGCTTTTGAGCCCTCACCCCTGGCATTGTCCGTGCCGGTGGCCCTGCCAATACGCCTGCCCCTGTGCCCATGAGGATGTCCTCCAGGCAACTCATCGTAAACACAATTTGATTTATGGACAATGTGGAAATTGAAAATTGTCGCATGGTCACTTTAATTTCTGAGTTATGCGACTTTAAACCGAGTTGAGGGATGGCCCCGGGCCGACGCCACTGTCGCTGATGAGGCAGGAAGTGAATTATGTCATGCTTCATTGTGAGGTTATGTAGCGATGACACACGGTACAGTCGAGACTCTACACACAGAGCTGCTACCGACGAAACTGTACTTGTTGACTGCGCCTCCGCTCCTGCCTCTGCCTTGCTGCCTTGGGTTGTTGCGTGCGAAAGGAGGAAGTGGCACGCGTCGCTTGTTAGTCGGTCGCTGTTGCAAGTTAAAGAGCAATCGGGGCGCTCCAGGACGGGGCACCAACAACCCTCATTGTCTCAGCTAGTCCTCGTCCCCGTCCGAAACAGGGGATGGGGTTGTGTTTGATGTTTGCCTGTTTAGTGCTAGCCGTTGAAGTGCTTCGATGGTTTAGTGTCGGATTATAGTTTTGACATTTGTCCGATCGGCGTGCAGAGCGGCTGATTGCAGATGAGTATCTTCGGAGGCAGATGATGGATGCTCTCCTCCTCTCCGCTGAAGTGTGAAATATGCCGTTAACTTGTCCGCTGTCCGCTGTCCCTTCTCTGGATTCCATTTATCGATAATGGAGGACATTCCACGCATCGCTCATACCCGAGAATGTTAACCCTTTTGTTGACCCCTTGGGGCCGCTTGACAAAGTTTCACTTATTTGGCAATTATTGGAAATATTTTCCAGTTTTAATTGAAAAACTGAAACCGAAGCTGGCTCTCCCGCTGATACCCATCTGGCTGGTCTGGGCCACTTTCATGCATGCCTGCACCTGCTGCTGCTACTGCTGTTGTCCACAATTAAAATTGCTCACTCCCGCAGCCCCAACCCCTGGCAGGGGTCCATAGGAAAAGTTTTCATGGTTATCACTTTGTGCCTGCTCTGGGGGGTTTTATTTTTCATGGCTTTTCAATTTTAATTGAAATTTATGCACATCTCTCAAAGGGTTTGTCCGCACCAAGTGGGCCCACTAGCCTCCTGCTAGCCTGCCCAACACTCCTCCAGCCACGTGTTCGCCAAAAAAAGTGTTGCAAATTGTTGAAAATTTCAAATTTACATGTACAATCGCCTGGAGCGATCCTGGAAGAAGGGAAAGTGGAATGGAGCGGGGGAAGGGCTGAACGGAGTTCTGTGATTTACAGCCCGCACTTTGGTAATTTACGAGCCGCAGCACTTGAAACAGAAACATAACCCAACAGAACCGAACCACACCAAACACGGAAAGTGCATGCAAAACATTTTGTTATTTTGTTGTTGCGGCGCCATTTTATTGCCTTTCGGTTTGTTCATGTGTAAAATTTGAAATTGTTGTAAATAATTACCCTAATGGCTGTATGCCCCATCCAGTCTCAGTTCAGTGTTCCATGCTCCATGCCTCATGTCCTCGTGGACCAGTTGCCACTTCTTTTTCTTGTACAGTTAATTTGTGAGTCGAGCAGGCAGCGTCGCCATTTGTAATTAAGCCTAAACCGTTAATATTTCAGCCAGATAAGAGAAACTGCACCCTATCCTATACCCAGCATTCCCCATTCAGAACCATTCCCATCCCAAAGATACCCATAAATTCTGAACCAAAACTTGGTCCTTTCGACCAGGATCAGCAGCAAATTGTTGGGGAAACATTTTACGGTTCGGCGAAAGCGAATCTCTCCCATGGTCGGGTGTTAATTTCCAGCCAGATTTTTTCTTATCTCGGCCCCAACGAAAGTGAAAACTTGGTTTCCCTCGGCTTTTGCTTCTACTTGTTTAGCCAAGAATTTAATTAGCATACCGAATCGTTAACAAGATTGAAAAGCCCCTGAGTTATGCACAAGTTTCGCATGTAAATATCGGCTGGGGTCTGCAAATGGAAAGTGCCTCTTACTCCGAAATTGCCGAAATTGTAATTAAGAAATATGCCTCTCGACCTGAAGAAAATTGCTTGCTATGCAGCAGGAGATGGGGACCGAAAGAGGTGCTGAATCAGTGAATAGAGAATTACATAAATCAAAATAAAAGAATTTTATAGGGATACAAAACATAAACGACTACAATACGATGCTTATATTTACAGTATCTTACATTTTAGCTTTATGTGTAATGGTTTGCTAAGCTTTCAGATGAATCTTTAACTTTGAAAGAATCTATAATAACATATTTGGATGTTCCAACCATATAATGGTATCCGTAATCATCCATAAATCGACTAACTCTGTGCACTGAGCATCATTATACTAAGAAGCTAAGGCTATGCTTAAGTTAAGGCGCGACTAACATCCAAAGCGAGTGATTCCGATCCTAGCCAATGTGGATATCTAAAAGTAGAAGGAGTAGAAGGATCGGTTAGCTGGTTGGCTTGACACAACACACGACACAACTTACTATTATGATGGATGTTTATGTTGATTTTTGGAATCCTTATTTTAGGTCTCGCTCTGCCTTTAGGTTTAGGGGCCGCGAAGGCATCGCCGGAGCAGAGAACAAAACACACCACGAACAGAAGCCAGCCGAACCTGAAGTGTTTCATATTTATTGTGAATACTCGAATTAATGGCGGAGATTAAGCGAGGCTGAGAGCTGAACGAGCACTGAGGTGAGGCTGATGACTCTTCTTAAATAAATCTGAATTTTGAAAAAACTTTTCGGGAATTCTCTGAAATAGAATAAAATCACCGAAACGCTGATTATGATGAAGTCAATGAGGCTGTTATCTGCTTGGATTTTACCACCGGGCGTGCTTATCAATAAATCCGAAAGTAAACCCCCGAGCAAATGGAATACCCAGCTGAACGGATCTACCCGTAAGAACTTGCTCAACCCATTGTCGGGGAGACAGTGACAGCCCCTGCACTCGAGTGCCGACTACTCGAACATAAACATGCATAAATTGCATTATAAGCGACCCAAACAAAGCATTAACCATCCCAGCTTTCCCCTCCCGCTGCCCGAGCAGCCATAACTATTCATTATCGACACATAAACGACCCTGCGACCCTCTCCGGGGCCAAGGGCAGGGCAGTCATAACTTCAAATTTTTATTAAATAAACAGAACAAAGCAATGGCCGGAAAATGTCACACACTCGCACTACAGAGGGGAGGACACAGGGAGGACCTAGGACATATGCACGAGCATCCTTCTGACCCACTAAATTGGATATGCGAATTGCATGGCTGAAAGAAGTACGCAAAGAACCCTTTCTATCCTAGAGCCCCTCCCATCTCTCTCCAGCACATCCTGCGTAATTCAATATTTGACTATATGAGATTTATGGCCACAGGGTCTAGAGGCTTCCGCTGGGCTGGCGACGTCCTCGTCCTAGTCGTCGTCGTCGTTTTATTTGTACAAAGTATAATTTTTGATTTAGTGCGATTTGTGTCAACGGTTCGAGCGCCGCACCGCACACACGGGGGGTGGCAAAGGGTTGAGGTTGAGGCGAACGCAATAGTTTCGCAATATCCGAAAAGCGAAAGTTTGCCTCGCTTTGTTTGCCTTGGATGCGATGGTGCGGATATGAGACCGCATGCTGATTGTCATTCAGGATTCTGGAGGGAGTACTCCACTCCATCCTCCTGCAAGGCGGAAGCGGATGTTATGCCAGCGGAATGCGCATAAAAGTTTATTATTATGCCAGAAATTTGGTGAAAATGTAAGAGAACTGGCGAAGAGCAGATGACAACAAATTGCTATGTTTGGCTTTCGCGAATACGCGAGGGAATTAACGGAGACACCTCGCGGCAATGGCAACAACCTCTTCAACTGGGGTGGCTCGGGCAGGTACACAGGATGCAGACGCCAGTGCCTCCCGATAAGGCGCGAAAGTGCTTGGCAGAGGGCAATTTCCCGCGAAAATTTGCATAGCTCGTGGGCGCGAACAATCGCAGCCAATCAAAGGGTTGCCGCACGGCCGGAAGCGCGAGACATGCGAATTTATTACAGGTTGCATTAAATTTAATTTTCATTCGGAGCGTGTGCGGAAACTACCAATGGGCCCGGCCAGGAGATTGACTTACCCAGTCAGGCGCGTAATGAGATGAGGTGTTAGCGTTTCTTCATCTCCTCGATCTGTTTGAGCAGCAGCTGCATGCGATCCTTCATCAAAGGCTGGCCGCGCTGGGTGCGCTTGCTGATTGCCTTGGTCTTCTCGAGTCGCTGCTTCTTGTAGGCCTTGATGCGGGCCTCCTTCTCGGCCCGCACCTGTTGGCGCTCAGCCTCGGCTTTGGCCGCATTCTGCTTACGGATCATTTGGCGGATCTCGGGCTTGTTGGGTTTATCCTGAAATGCAGTACGCGATGTATGAGTGGGGGCGGGGCGTCTTAGCATTTTGCTGCTACCTACTGTTTTAGGTTTCGGCTTGCCCTTCTGCTTATAGTTTGGCTTTTGCCATTGCGTCGCCTTGGCATGGCTAACCGTGGGCTTTTTACTCGGTATTCCCTGCGATTTTTGTGTTTTCGGCTTCATTTTATTCTACTTTTGATGTAAACAAAACGAAAAACGTGTTAGCAGACAGCTGTTGCTTTTCGCATACCGATATATCGATTGCACAGTGGCAGTGCTGTAAGACATTGCGAACCCAGTACTGGGCAGCAACACCATTTGTATATTGATAACTATCGCTTACGGTATATTTCGGCATATTTTTGAGGGTTAGGCGATATATCTTATCGATAGCTTACCGTAGCTCCAGTCCATTCATTAAAAATGTTAAAAATTGCTAAATTTATTGCACACAATGGCAAGTAAATTATCTAATTATTTTAGCATCATCTAATCTAACCATTACCCACTAGCTACAGTTGTCAATATAACTGGCAGCCGACTGGCACGGACTTCAAATCGCTTTTATGCCCAGACCGGCAGTGTCGAAGACAAAAACATCACAACACGAGACTCGGATGAACCGATTGACATAACGAATCCCTTCGAGAAGGACCCCCAGCAGTGCATCCTGTGCAAGAACAACATCACCCCGCACTACAAGAATGTACGGCTGCTGTCCCAGTTCCAGTCGTCCTACACGGGCCGCATCTACGGACGCCACATAACCGGGTTATGCAAGCAGAAGCAGGATGATGTGGAGCGGGCCATTCTGCGGGCACAACAGTGTTTGCTGATGCCGGGCTACCACAAAGACCTGGACTTCTTGCAGGATCCCAAGCTCTTCGATCCGGAGCGGCCAGTGCGGCCTCATAAATATTAGTTTGGCATTTTAGTTTTGTTCAAAATTTGTTTTTAATGCGGAGTAATACATTTTGCCACCGTGAAGCATCATTGTCTTAATGTCAGTCCTCCTCCAGGTACCTCAGCATTTCGAGGGGAATGCGTAGGTGAATCAACAGATTTTTCTTTGTCGGGCGGGGAATGATCATGTCCTGCAGGGCGTCCACAGTGACTCTGAATCCCCGCCGCCAGGTCACGATGTCTGCCTGCAGTTCGGGGATTCTGCTGTCTTGTGGCTCTTCTTCGTCAACCGTATCCTCTTTGTATTCCTCTTCCTTCCGTTCATCCTCTTTTGTCTTCTTGTCCACTGCGTATTCCTTCTTTTCTGGGTTAATGCATGGTGTATTTTCGGTGGCTTTTGGAATGAGCTCATTCTCCTTAAGTACGCTGGCGGTTGCGAACTCCAGCCGCTTCTTGGTCAGCTCTGTACGGATGCGAGACAATCCGATGCGTTTGCGACAGTTTGTGGTCAGCGGCAGGGCGCGGGGAGTCTCTTGAGTCTGATGTGAAGGTGTTGTGGCTCCGACGTCCTCCCGTTGCATCCGCAATAAAGGAGTGGTGTTGCACAGCCGCCTTGACATGCCAATCCGAGGCCTCCGCCCCGACAAAGGAGTTCCGTAGGCTTCCTCACCCATTCTTGATACGCGAATTACATGCGAAATATAAATGGTTTTAAATTGTTCACAAATTTTAGAAAAGCGCAAGGCTGCCAGACTTTGAAAAAGTTAGTTCCAAAAATACACACTGCTATAGCGCCATCGCACGCTGGGCAAAACAGCAAATCTAACGGAATAAAAGAAAAAATTGTCAAATCAATTAAAAATTTGTATCGCATTTAACTTAATATTATTCTTATACGTTGTTCAGCTTGGGTTAGCTGCTCTAAGAGGCACGCATAATGCATGGAGACCAAGAACCAGTTTACAATAAGCTCAAGTGAATTCATTTAGTTTTTATTGTATTGTTCTTTATTCTATATAATTGGTATGAATATATAAATCACGCGCTAAATATCCTGTCTTTTGGGGATTTTATAAATGGTCTACAAAAACTATGCGCGCTCTACTTGCTAATCTGTTCTATGACTAAAAAAGTGACCTGATACTGATACATACTGAAATTGGGAACGCCCAACGATCCGTGGTATGGTGGCGGATGCCTCACCAACTCGGGTGTACACATTTTGGCTTGAATCTGAGTCTCTCCTCCGCTTGTTTCACCTCCTCTCCTAAAATCCAGTCTGATATGAGTAGAACTAATCGTAGGTTGAGGCCACGGGGCTAAAGCGATTCACTTAAAACTGAAAAATGAGGGTCTGATGACTGAAGGCATATTGCAAAGATCGCCAAAAAGGTAAATATTGCAATTACAGGTTTGAGAATGGTCGCAGGTTGCAGCTGCAGGACGCAGTTCCCAGATTGGCAACAAAAGCACTTACAAACGAATCTATATCGATGCATTAAACTACGGTACGACTAAGAAAAGGGGTCCATGTCCATCTCCATCTCCATCCACTACGGTACTACGGCAGCTTGTGGTAGCGCTCGACGTCCGCGCCCCGGAAGCTGACCTTGCACACGCACTGCTGGGTCGACGACAGCAGGACTAGACACTCGCGACAGACCAGATGCTGACAGGTGCGGATCTCGTAGCCAAATTGACTGCTGCGGCAGTTGATGCAGCGGGGCGGTGTTCCAGATCCTGCAACGGATCCGACCTGGGTGAAGCGGGTGATCTTCTGCAAAGCCTGCTGGAGGGCATGGTCAATGGAAGATGGACCTGTCGTCGAGGTAGATGCGACTGCAAGCGACTGGTGAACGCTGCTGGCAGTGACTGTAGCACTGGCCGAGTGGTGGCTGTGTCTGGCCCGCTTCGCAGCCGGCGGCGAGGCGGGGGACTGGCCTGGGAAAGCCGCCGTAGATGAGGTGGCCGTGAAAGTGACGGTGGATTTGGTCTTGCGCTGCTGATGCTTGTACGCGCTAGAGAGCGAGGAGTAGGTCCCGACAGCGATACTACCCTGTCCTGGCAGGCACATGCTGCTGGCGAACTGGGAGGCGTGGCGGCGGCGCATTCGTGAGCTACCCAGCGAGCGGGGCACAGTCTTAAAGTGCTCCGAGTTATCCATTAGGAACTTTTCGATGCGCGCCTTGAGGGCGAGGTTCATTACTGCTTTGCGCTGTGAGGTATATTCGAGTCCTGTGAAGGGATCGGAGGGCTGGCGGCCCCACTTGCCCTCCTCCACAGCGTGCTTGTCAATTGTGGACTGGTCAACCACCTTGCCGGAGGGCAGCACCGTGGGAAAGATCTGAAAGAAATTGAATTCCGTGAGCAACAACACGGGAATTACATTACAACACGGAATCTCACCATTAGCTCCCAGGTGAGGGAGTCGAGGAACTCTTCGGGTAGCGACAGCGTCGACTGCTCGCGCAGCTCAGGTATGTGGCGAGAGGGTGACCGCTGTCCAGCTGGGTGCTGAGCCTGGTCCCGCTGTCCGAACGGATCGCTAATCTCGCTCCAGATGGTCTTCATCAACTCGCGGTCGCCCTTGTCCAGGGAGCGGGCAGGCAGGCCCCAGATTTGAATCTTTCGGAGCACCGGTGCACAGCGTTCCGTGGCACGAATCACGATCTTCACGCTGTTCGTGTTGGCCAGGATTTTGTGGGCCGTCTTGAAGAAGAACACCTTCTCGCTCTGCTGCTGGGCGGCGGCCGCGCTACTGCGGGAATTGTAGTCGCTCTGGTAACAGAAAGTCACCGAGTCAACGCCCTTGGACAGGTCGCGGACGTTGGCCACTCGCTCCCAAATGCCGTCGTACTTGCTGTGCACCTCGAAGGCCGTGGACCGGAAGGCGCCTGAGGTGTGCCACAGCTTTATGACCTTCATGTCGATGGCTTTGGGAAAATCAAAGACGATCTCAACGGGCGGCTTGCAGACGGCGAAACACATGAAACCACGCTCCAGCTGCTCCCCATCGTTAGCTATCAGGTTGTCGGCTGTGTAGCCGTCCTCGCACACGGCCTCGCATTCCACGGAAGGCTTGAGTTTGGGGTTGAGGAAGTTGATTAGGCTACTCATGCCTCTCCTCTCGAATGCGCTCTAATCTCAAACGCTGCAGTTGTTCACGAGCCAGCACAGCTCGTGTTTCTCTGGTGTGCTGTGGTGTGGTGTGGCCCCACCTGCTCTTTATTCGCACAGAAAATGGCGTCACTGCCTCTGCTTCTGCTCTGCGTCTCAGCGACAGCCTCCTGTCTGTCTGTTGCGTTGCTGCTGGCGTAATCACAGTCCAAGCATGAAAAGGCAGAGCTCTTACAATTCCCTATTCTTGATGCTGTGCAGCGATTTAGCTAGCATCTTATTACGCACTTGACAATTATCGCCTTTTGCTATATTTATAAATTTATAAATCTTTCGAATTATCGAAAATGTGCGTATGTTATCGCCTTTGCAATCAGTGTGACCGCGGATTTATGGAAACAAATATTCCGTCTGAACCCCAAAAATGTACCGAAAAATATCTTAACATTTTCAAAATATACCATAAATATACCGTAATCTTAAATCATTTTCCTCTAGTTGATGTTCTATTTTATATTACTAGCTAGTTAGGAGTCTCAGCGCTGAAACTAGAATTTTATCCAATTTATCAATCAATTCTCCACAAGATTTCACGACTTTTTTTTTCTTGGAAGGTTTCCAAATTAAGTGGTAAGCTAAAAAAGTCAACCCACCAAAATAACATAATTTGACAATTTGTTCCTTGTCAACCGGTATGTATAATATAGTAAGGGCGTTTGTATAACCTATTTCCATATATTAATATTACAATTTAATTTTAAAAGCTTCTCTCAAACATTAATAATGACTTTATCTAAGACTGACATGAGTTTAACCTATTCATACGTATGAACTGACTGATCTATGCACAAACTTTAACTGCATAACCAAAAACTAGTGATCAATTAGCCACGATATTTTTGTGCAATAATGGAATTAGTTTGGCGGTCACATCTACATATATTTTGAAAATATACCAATGTTCTATCGCAAGATATGGATTATGCATCTTCGCTCAAGTTTTCCTAGTGAACACGTCCACTGTGTTTGCTTATATCTGCCACACAAGTTTGGCAAGTGTGGAACCAACTAAAAGCCGAGCCCCAACTAGTGTGTTCCTGCTGAGCTGTGCTGAGTCGGCAGGCGAAATTGTTTTATGAGGAGCTGCATTATAATCTGCCCCACCGGAGGCAGATTAGAGCCAGAGGCACTCGAGAATGCCTCATGAGGGCACAAAATAAAAGTTCCCAGGCGGAATGCGTGAGATTATGGTAATCTTTGTCGGTGTGAGCGTTTTCCCATTCTTGTCAATGGCTTGACCAACAGTTGGTCGAAAGATAAGAGGCTATTACTGGCGGATGAGTTTCGGCGAAGCTATAAGTGGACCCACGGCAGGTGCGACGCCCTCAGTTGTCCAGGAAGCGACGGCCATGAAAGGAATCGTGCTCATGCTGCTCTGCGGCGCGCTTGTCGCGTCCGCTGTCAACCTGCCAGGAGTGCCTGTTGACTTTGAGGTGGACGACAAAGTGCTGTCCGCCATTGCGGACGACGTTGCGGATCGCCTCGCCAAGGAATACCTCACCTACATGAAGACGGGCGTGGAGACGTCGGCCTTCAAGACACTGACCTCGCAGCTGGCCAAGTCGCACAGCCAGAAGGACATTTTCACGCGGAATCTGCCCGAGCTGGAGCCTCGCGACAGCTTTTTTGTGTGCGTTGCCTGCCGTTCAGTGATGCGCGTCTTTGCCAAGACCATCCGGGAGGAGGATGGTGAACTCCACGGCGAGGATAGTGCAGTGTTCATGAAGAAGTTCGCCATGGACGTGTGCAGGCGCCTCAACCTGCAGACCGAGGAGGTGTGCGAGGGCCTGATCGACTCCAACATGCCCAGTGTCGAGTACATCATGCGCAACTCTGAGATCGACTCTCAGAGCTTCTGCTCGCTGTTCATGGAGTTTAGCTTCTGCAACACTGGCTCCAACCAGGACTACAACTGGACTCTGACTGTGGACTCCACGGGCGAGGCCATCACCGGCCCCAAGGCGGACACCCCTCAGGCTACCGGCTCTGACCTGAAGATCTGTCATTTCAGCGACATCCACCACGACCCGTTGTACGAGCCCGGCAGCCTCGCCTCCTGCGCTGAGCCAATGTGCTGTCAGCGGAACAAGGACACGGTCCAGGGAACCAGCGAGGCAGCAGGCTACTGGGGTGACTACCGCGACTGCGACTTGCCATGGCACAGTTTGGAATCGGCCCTCGATCACGCCGTGGCCACCGAGAAGTGCGACTACGTCTACCAGACGGGTGACATTGTTGACCACATGGTCTGGGCCACATCTGTGGAGAAGAACACCGGAGTACTGACCAAGGTCAGCAGCCGTCTAAACGAGGCATATCCCGATGTTCCCATCTACCCCTGCATAGGCAACCACGAGCCCCACCCACTCAACCTGTAAGTAATCTTATTTCACATTCCGTTTCCATATATTTTATGCTTATCTTCCTACCCTACCATACCATACCAGCTTCAGTCCTGAGGGAGTGCCCGATGATGTCAGCACCAAGTGGCTGTACGAGCATCTGTACAACGACTGGTCCAAGTGGCTGCCGGTCGAGACGAAGGAAACGATCCTCAAGGGCGGCTACTACACTGTGTCCCCGCGCCAGGGCTTCCGCATCATCGCCCTGAACAGCAACGACTGCTACACGGACAATTTCTGGCTTTACCACAGCGGCACGGACAAGATCCCACAGCTGCAGTGGTTCCACGACACGCTACTGGCGGCGGAGAAGGCGGGCGAATATGTCCACATTCTCACACACATCCCCTCGGGCGATGGCACCTGCTGGTCCGTGTGGGCCCGCGAGTTCAACAAGTGCATCACACGCTTCCGCGGCACCATTAGCGGCATCTTCACCGGCCACTCGCACAAGGACGAGCTGTTTGTCTACTACTCGGATGAGGGCCATGCCACCGCTGTGGCCTGGAACGGCGGTGCTGTCACCACCTACTCCGATAAGAACCCCGACTACAGGGTCTACGACATCAGCTCCAAAGACTTTGGCGTTCTCGATCACCGCACCTATATTTTCAACTTGACGGAGGCCAATCTGACGCCCGATAAGCAGCCCGAGTGGTTCTTGGAGTACGAGTTTGCCAAGGAGTTTACAGGGGACACCAGTCCAGCGGGAATCGACAAGCTGCTGGACGAGTTTGCCGACAATCCGCAGCTCATGAGGAAGGTATCTTATGCCAGTCCTGTCCAGTCGTATTTGCATTTGCACCTAACACTGTTCTCTTCCGTAGTACTGGCGCTTCCGTGTGACTTCTGCCGATCCGCAGATTAACCGCGGCTGCGATCGCAACTGTCTGGCTGGATCCCTCTGCCGCGCCTCCGTGACCATCAACAACCAGCGCGAACGCTGCGAGGAGCTCAGGGAGCGACTGTTTTTGGCTGTAAGTGACACTAATTCCCCTTAAAACTAAAGCTTTTCAATACATATCCTTTGTGTATTCTTAGCTGGACAACGAGGAGACCACCGGACCAGGGGACGATGATGATGATGATGATGATGATGGAGGAGCTTCTGCCCTGGGCCTGCTCAGCCTCAGTTCTCTGCTGGCTGTGGCTCTGTCCGTTCGCTTAACCTTCTAAGCATACTCGTAGCTCATAAGTTATATAATTCCATTTTGACTGTATCCCGCCCCAACCCCATCCCAATCCACCCAATCAGTGGCAAATAGAAATTCGCGCTTATCCCTATCGAAGCTGCTAATCTCTTGTTTTTTTTGGCAGTTATCTCCTGCCAAACATAGACTTTGCTTTATAGCCATACAGCCGATAGCCTTATCGGCTAATAACGATCCAGCATTAGCACAAATTAGCCAATTGCCTGCTCCTGGTGATGGCCATAAACCATAAGCCAAACTACTTGCAGCCCATTGTTAGCAACTTATGGCACAAATAGTTGTTATGATGATGATGGAGGCATCGGTGGGAGCCCAGCACGTGAATTGAAGTGGGTCGCGGAACGAACAGAAGAATGATTTACAGCGAAATAGTGGGTAGCGTCTATATATGTACATCTGATCGATCAGGGAGCACTTCCATATAATCCATATAAATCTGCCACCGAATCGCAATTAGTATGGGCTGATGGCTGATGGCATTTCCAGCAGCGATATCTCTGGCCTGGCCCAGATAAGCCGCAGGTGTGATAGCAAGGCTATAAATATGAGCTAGGAACCGGTCCTGCCCATTAGTTCCGCCATGAAGTTGCTCTGGAGCGTAGCACTGCTGGGCATGGCTCTCTGCTTGGGCAGCCAGGCCTCCTTCGACCTGCCCGGGATCCCTGCCGTCTTCACCAGCGATGATCGTCTCATGTCTGTCGTCTCAGGTGGGTAGTGCTTTTAGGTGGTTTCCTTATCAGGAGCAGAGATCCGATCGATCTCTGCTTGACAGCCTCGATTGACATCCGCTTCGATTGGCTCCACTCTTGCAGCTACTGTGGCCGAGGAGATAAGCCGCGAGTTTGTCAAGTACATGCGATCTGGGGTAGAGTCCGAGAGGCTCAAGGAGCTGGGCAGAGAGCTGAGGGGCAGCCACAGCAAGAAGGCCATCTTTACAGAGTCCCTCGTGGACCTAAGCTCGGCGGACCAGTACTTTGTCTGCACCATCTGCCGCTCCACGATCAACGTCCTTGTGCGCACCTTCACCGACGGGGAGCTTAGCGGACAAAACCGGGAGGCGGAATCCAAGAAGCTGATGCTAGGCGTCTGTGACTACTTCAGCATCACGACTCCGGAGGTCTGCTCTGGCTTGTTCGATCTCAACTGGCCAATCTTGGACTTTATCTTCAACGAGACTGCCGCCAATTCGCAGTCTTTCTGCGGCATGCTGCCCATCCCCATCTGCCAGGTGCAGCAGGAGGACTTCAACCTGACTCTGACCATCGAGGGCGATCTGCCCACCGAGTCCAACTCGGATCTGCCCGCCCGCAGTCCCCAGGACCATCTCGTCCTGCACCTCACCGACATCCACTACGATCCCGAGTACAAAGTCGGCGGCAACGCCGCCTGCGATGAGCCCATGTGCTGCCGCAGCGACCTTGCGCAATCGAGTCCCAGTTCCTCAGCGGCTGGCTACTGGAGCGACTACCGCGACTGCGACACCCCCAAGCACCTGATACTGAGCGCCTTCAACCACATCAAGGATAACCACAAGATCGAGTGGATCTACCACACGGGTGACGTGCCGCCTCACAATGTCTGGTCCACCACTCGCCAGGGCAACATCGACATGCTCACCGAGATCGATGGTCTGCTGACTGAGTACTTCCCGGAGACGCCAGTGTACTCCTGCCTGGGCAACCATGAGCCCCACCCAGCCAATGTGTGAGTACCTTCTCCTTCTATGTTTCCCAGAAAAAGAGCTCACAAGGTGATCCTACAGATTTGGCAACGACGAGATCCCAGATCCCCTGCGCGTCGACTGGCTGTACGAGCATGTGTGGAAGCTGTGGTCCAAGTGGCTGCCCGCTGAGGCGGAGGATACTGTGCGCCGGGGAGGATACTACACGACATTGCCCAGTGCGGGGCACCGCATCATTGCGCTGAACAGCATGGACTGCTATCTGTACAACTGGTGGCTCTTTTACAACGGATCCTTGATCCAGGAGCAGCTGCAGTGGTTCCACGACACGCTCCTGGCCGCCGAGCAGGCGGGCGAGAAGGTGCACATCCTCTCGCACATTCCCTCCGGAGACGGCGACTGCTGGTCCTCCTGGGCCAATGAGTACAATCGGTTGCTGAACCGCTTCAGCGGCATCATCACGGGCATCTTCAGCGGCCACACGCACAAGGACGAGATGAACCTGCACTACACGGACGAGGGCCTGGCTGTGGCCATCAACTGGAACGGCGGTAGCCTCACCAGCTACGCCAACAAGAACCCCAACTACCGCCTGTACCTGCTCAGTCCGCCGACCAAGCATGTGGTGGATCACCTCACCTACACCTTCAACCTGACTGCCGCCAATCTGCAGCCGGATCAGCAGCCCGAGTGGTACCTGGAGTACGAGTTCACCAAGGAGTTCACCGAGGACACGAGTCCAGCGGGCATTGACAAGCTCCTGGTGGCCATGGCCGAGAAGCCCGAGCTGCTCCGCAAGTTCTGGCGCTACAAGTTTATCAGTGCCGATCCCAAGCTCAGCCAAGGCTGCGACAATGCCTGTCTGTCCAAGACGCTCTGCAGGATTGCCACCAGCAACTACCAGAAGCGAACGCGCTGCCGGGAACTCCAAGCCATCCTCGAGAAGAGCGTGAGTAGTCCTGGCTGGAGTAGTCATTTTCCTTCAACTTTTGACCCTCTTCACTTTTCAGCTGGAGAACGAGAAGGACGAGGAGGACAACGACGATGATGGTGCCCCTGGCCTCAAAGCCCTAAGTCTTACCTCCCTCTTGGGGCTGCTGGTTGCATCCACATTCCTTGCATAACACCTCTCTCTTATCGATGCCCCCGCGTATGCCTCCGAGTACTTGTATTTATAGTCCTATCATTGGGGGGGCAATTATCGGGGACCGATCGATTAGAGGAACCCCAAAGCGACCCTCTAGATGTGAGTGGGTTGAAGGGTAGGCGGGGTAGGGTTTTGGTGGAGCAATAAACACACACGATTCTTGTAGTCAACACTCAGAATGTTCAATATACACATTTATATATATATATACTCGTATAGAGGGGTTCCCAAGATGCCTCTCGAGTAGCGAATACTAGTAGCTTGGATAAGGTTTAAGTTGAAGTGCGGGTTTAAGCACTACGATGGAGTCCGGGAGGTTGTGTTCGTGCCTCTGCCTCTGCCGCTGCTTTTGTACATACATATACACAGATGGAACGAGTCCAGGACGTCGCTTAGAGAGCACACATGAGCGTGGCGATGTCGAGGTCCTGCTCATCGGCCTTGCGGAGGATGAGGGCTGCCTGGTTTTGGTAGCGGCCAGTCGACACCAGGCGCACGGTGCTCACCCCGCAGAAGATGGCCTGCTCGGGCCCCGGCTCGTTGGCGGCACCACACACGGCGCTGGCCAGCTCCAGGCCGTTGGCATCCAGGCCAGAGGACCCGCCGATCTCCAGGCGATCTCCGAACGTCTGACACTATGTGAGGGAGGGAGAGATTAGCCACAAGCGAGAAAGGCGAGCGGCCTCCGCGCTGAAATACTCACATCATAGTTGACCTTCTGCTGTGTTCGCACACTCTTGCCGCCGATCCGCAGACTGGCCAAAGACACGACGGCCGGAAAGAGCGCGGAGATGGTGCAGTTGCGGGCCTGGCCAAAGTTTGTCATCTTGTAGACGGCGGCGGTGTCCTGGACCAGTACGTTGCAAGCTATCGGTTGGAAAAAAGTTAAGGGGTTGTGAAAGGAAGGAGGGGGCCTTCGTCGGACACTCACGTTGTGTGATCTTGTGGAAGCGCACGTTGGCCACGAAGGAGCCTCGACCGGCGATGCGGTACTGAAGCAGGGCGGCGTTCTGGCTGGATCGGAAAAACTTCTTGTTGCTAACACGGGGCCTGAAAGCAATGCAAAGATTGATCAATGCTCAAGTAATTAGTACTCAAATGCTTCTTGACCCACACACACACACCATTGCTTGTAGTTGTTGCAGAACTCGTATACACGCTCCTCGAGCGGTCGATGGTGATCCTTGATGCCCGGAAAGTACTCACCGTTCAGCTCCCAGCCATCAACAAACTGCGGATGGAAAATGGACGTACATGGAAGATCGTGGAGATCAGGGGAATCCTTACCGCCATGAGGGATCCTGACTCGCAGTTGGCATCGTAGTGCTTCATTGTAATCTCCACAATTGTGTCGGGCTCGCCAATCACATACAGGCCACAGACTTCGTGCTGCTCCTCCAGTCCCAGTCCCAGTTCCATTCCCAGTCCCTGTCCGTGGTCCGCTCCTGAAGCAGCCGCTGCAGCTGCAACGGCTTCCAGCTCGAGCAGCGCCGCCTCCCGATTGAGGCCGGGCAAGGGGGCCAGCTTCTTGAAGATGTAGTCACCTGCCTCAAAGGCCACGTGCATGCATTCTGGGCAAATGGAGGTGGAAGGTAGAGTGGAGGCGGATATGGATCGATTTCAGTGCAGTCAAATGGCCCCAGGCCCTTCTCTAACAAAAGCCGAAAGCGAAAGCGAAACCGAAACCAATTTGTCGGAATAGCAATAGAAATGGGAGAACTATAGGGCGTGAATTGTGGCATCGGGGAGTCGTAATTGAAATCCCCGTTGACTACCTCCCCAACTCTCCATTGGCTGTGCAACAATTAATTTATCATGCGCATCCACTTAATGCCTGGCCATCGTTGGCTGATTTATGGCCAGAATTATTAGCCAGACTTCGGTCCAAAAGCGCACACACACCCACGTAGGGGACCAAAAACAAAAAAAACAATCAAACTGCTTGACGTTTTTTTTTTGCTGCTATTTTCTATGCTTGTCACATACTCTGTCTCTGTGGGCTTGGTCCACGGACCAAACGTGGAGTGGAGGTGGAGGTGGAGTTGGAGTTGGTATGCGCTCCTGCTACTTGGCGCCAATTTGTTTACGACCCTCGCTAATTGATTTGAAGTGGTCGCATTTCGGGACTTTTAACATTTCAATTAATTGCGGCTGACAATTAAATGCACATTATCCACAATTGATTCGACATTATGGTTTAACAATCATAATCGGCGGATATGCAGTAAACGAATGAGTAATCATAAAGTATTTGTGAAGCCAACGAAAGTAAAACCACTCAATCGCTTTCTCTACACTTTAGTTTCTTCTGATTAGATTTAGAATACGAATCCTAGTCCGCATTTAATATTATCGCTATTACAGCAATAGAAGCGAGAGAGAATTGCTGTGCTCCCTCTGCGTTTGGCCTCATCCATTCTGGGGATTAGGGCAACTCATTTGTGAATCGAAATGTTTCTACAAAATTGCTTTTCCTGGAAACTTCAAGGTGACGTCACTCAGGGGGGGAAGGTTACATTGGTCGTAGTCCTGGCTATAAATAAAAGCAATTATAAATCGGCATTGCCACAGATTTGTGGAAGCTGCCGATATTGATGCAACTTTCTCTTTTTGCTAGGGCCTGACATGCGGTTGCTTTGACGATTCCCCTGGCCAAAATGACTGGACGGAACCTGACTGAGCCCAGCAGGAGCAACGAGAAATTGAGAGGGGATGGAAAGGTAAGAGAAGGGGCTGGGATTAGCCCAATCAAAGTTTGTGGTCGAGTGTATGGGTGGTTCTACATGAATTTCATTAAGTTTCCCTTCATCGGAATCCCAATATTTCAGCTCCATTGACATTTGGAGAGGCCACAGATTTGTTTTCATCCATTTGGTCAAACGGGGAGTGCACTCTGATTTGAATTTGAATTTTGATGGCCAATGAATCTCCGTTGCTGTGGTGAATAAATTGCGCATACGACATGTGGAACCGTGGGGGGGCACCAACAGGAAGCCAGCAGCCGGGCACAACTTATGCAAAAATCAATTTGAGAGACAATTTTAGCTGCGTCAAGAAGCAAACAAGCTTTTGAAGGCGCTTTAAACTTGTCACAGCCCCCAAGTGCTCTCTCGTCCTCCTACTTAGCCCTTGAGGCACTTGACTCAAAAGTTGCCTTTGCATCCGCTCGTCCGCTCTTCCGCTCTTCGTGCGTGTTACTTGTTACTGCTTGGAGTGCTTCAACTTACCTGCCACCGTGTGCACATTGTGGGGCATCGCTGGGCTGGGGTACAGCTCAAAGGAGCGCTTTACACTGGGCCAGGCCTGAAAGCGAAGGAGAGCAAAGGGAGCATATAAGAGGAGAAGACCTAAATTGGAACCCCTCTGGCAAATGGCAGCCCATGCAACGGAATGTGGTAGTCAGATCAGGGCCTCCCTTCAGCCAACAGCAAACACAAAAGACAGACACCCGAAATCAGCGGGTTGTCCGCTGCTGCTAATGCCCGCCAACTTTCTGTAGTTGTGGCCCAGCGGGGGGCAGCTCCCTAATGCGGCCCGGCACTTAGTGGCCCGCCGCCACAATGCAACTGTAGAGGGAGGGACAGAGGTCAGCCAATGCAGAGGACAATAGCCGGGTTTTAATTAAACGACCACACACGATTTGCCAATAAACAAGAATCGGAGCAGATGACGCCCGAGACGTGCTCAGCTCCTGATGGCATGCTGTGGGGTGGGGGGGGACAGGGGGGACAGGGGTTAAGGGACATTATAAGCCTGACAAATCGGTGGTAAAGTTAAAAGTAAAAAGTGTGCCGGCCAGGACAAGAACATTTTTGTATCTTTGGGGTCCCTTTCCTGGGACCAGCGTCTTGGCGTTTGATGATTGATTGGAGGTTGCATTGATTTTCTTGTTAATTGAAAACGACGACTGGAGGGTCACCCACTCACCACCCACCTATTAATGTATATCCCGCAGGCTGAAGATGATAAATGGCGACGCAGCTCAAATAATTCAGTTGGAGCTATAAAAAACGTTCGGCTTTTGGTTAATTGTTTGCGCAACACTCAAGAGTTGGCCTTTAGCGAGCCGCCTAGCCCAGAGCCGTCCGTTATGGAACTGTCAATTAGTGGCGCTTTTTTTTGTTTTTGGCCAAACCAAAGCTTTAAGCCTAAGCCCTGTTACACCGTGAGCAAAAATGTGTGTTCCCTCCCTGACGTCACGAATCATCCTTCGACGCGCATTCCCCCAACTGTGCTGTGGAGAGGGTAAAATGGGAATCGAGACACTTCCAAGTCTCGATAAACTGTCAACAGGCGGTTAATAAATAATAAACATGATCCCTTTGAACACACTTGACGCTGCCTCATTTGCATAATCACAATGTCGGATTCTGCTTCTGCTTCTGCTTCGACTGGGGCTGGGGCTGGGGCTGCGGGATTGGGTTTGGGTTTGGGTTTGACCCGAAGAGGGGTAGGAAGACAGCCTTTGTCCAACCAAAAAGAAAGTTGCGCCAGCTGCTTCCAAAGCCAAACAGACATCTGCGTCAGACCCGAGCCAAGGGTCCCAGTTCCAGCAATGGATGGCTATCAGGGAGTTGCCAGGGAGATCCGTGCCATTCAAACGAGCACCAGGAGGCATCACAAGTCACAAATCTAAGAATAAAATATCTCCATCAGCTATTCAATGGCATTCACCCCCTCACCCACCAGCTCTTCTCTTTCTGTATTCATAATTTTCATTTATATTGTTTGTTCCGCAGTCCAGGAGTCGCCTGCATTGATTAATGTGTCTGTTGTTCACACAGTAAATCAGTTCCAAGGCTCAAACAATGCCCGGCTCAAAAGTGGAATGGTATTTCCCCTTCGGAACTGATCTACTGGGTGTCTACTGGATGTGTTGTCTTTCTTTCAAGGTCGTCGGGGTGGAATCTTTTGTTCCCGCATCGGCACTCGCTAATTAGCCAAGGATATGCGTGTCAGGTCTCCAGCATCCACATGGCCTGGCCGGGAGTCAAAATTCCCCAAATATTTGTGACTTCATTAAAAGTTCGTTGCGACAGGGGAGCGGAGGATTGCGACACCTACGCGGCTTTGGCAGCGGACGCGGAAACGACAAAAGCACCTTGAGAGCCTTCTCATTGGCAGGCAGCATCCTTTCGGGGCCAGGCAAATATTGACTTTACACTTGGCGGAAGGGGCTTCGGGAGTAATCCCTGAGTTCGGCAAACACTACAGCCTGCATCCTCGGCACCATTCCCCAGTTCCATTGTGTTGGACTGCGCGGTTGGGGACTCTTTGGTGGCGGCATGACTAAGTTATGAGGCAGCTTCAAAGCTCCGAATAGAAGAGTCGGAGTGAAGTCTTTCTGACCATGAATAAGTGATGCACTGAGCAACAGGCTGACGTTGAATGCTCTCCGACCATCCAATGTTCATACGTATTTATCGCCAACGCACATTTCGCTCAAGGAATCTCTGTGAAAGGATTCCGCTAACAGAGTAATGGTGGCTCAAATATGCGCATAATGCCGGAACCCAATGGAGTCTTACTCACTTAGCATTGCTCAAAGACGACTTGGAGATAGTTGCAAACGGAAGGTCTTTTGCAGAAGGAATTGCGATGGAACATGCTTTATGATTTTCAACACATCCACATAAAGCAGCTCCATCAAAGAGAGGACTGCCTCAATTACCATCATTAGAATATCCATCAAGTTATTGCCGCAGCGCGTTCTCATCTCCCAAGCTCCCGCTCCCGGAAGATGCAAACGATTGTTTTTTTGCCCACTGTGCGCAGGACGAAGGCGTTATTGGCTTTAATCATTTGTGGAACACAATAAAGCCCAAATTGGAAACGGGTACGCGAGGAAAGTCTCTCAACAAGGAGAGCTAAACTTGTGGGACGGGAATTCGCTGTGAAGTCGTGCATGCGAGTCCCTTTGCAGCTGCTTCATGCAAAAGAAATCCGCTCCTAGGACGGCAGGAAATTAGTACTGTTCAAATGTTTTACATCCTCCCCCCCACACACACTCTAACGTTCTCATCGACATCTACAACCTTTGGCATCGCAGATTTATGCACATTTCTGCATGCAGGAAATCGGAAACCCGCCATAAATACAGCGCGGCTGGCGGGACATGTGCAAAGAGAACATACTCATACATGTGTGAGTATCCGGCACACAAATTCCATCATAGAATCCTTAGTTTTCTCTCCGCAGTTTCCTTTGGTTCCTTCGGTTCAATCTGCAGAACAACTTGTTTATTTGAAGATGATCACTTAGTCTCGTTTCGGAGACCCCCTCCAACTATAATAGAGCAGGAAAATCGTTTTAGTTCCCTTAAGTTCAACCTCCTTCCGAGACTGCCATTGGTGACCGAGATCTCCCGTGTTAAGACATCTCCTACACTATGTTGCTTTGGTCATTGACGTTTTAGTTGTTGTCGCCGTCACATGTATCCCGGGCGCAAGAGGACTCTCCAGTAGGAAAAGGAGAGTCCAAACATGGACACGGGTGTGTCTGCGGGCGGGGTCCTGTCATGTCCTGGCTTAAATGGCAGTAAAGTGCCAAAGCGTCGGTGTCAACATGCGGCATTTTAAACGCACTTTGAGAGCAGGGCTCCCATGTAGGTATTGCACAAGTGTGCTGAGAACCCCATCACTGGGGGATAGGGATGCAATCTCATCCCATTCTGAGCGTGTGGTCACACAAAGAACGACTGTCGCAGGCAGGCTGCATTGCACTTTTATTGAACTACGCCCATCAAGGGAAATCGCTTTGCCGTTCAGGTTGTCCTGCGAGTGACTGTTGGTTTTTGCCCCACCCAAGGAATAATAGGACTGGGTCGTGGGCGGGGAGTGTTCAGTTCGGTTTTGTTCTGTTCAGCTCAACGGCAGGTGGGAACATTTACATTTATCCCACTTTGAGTGCGGTCTTAGCCGGAGACAAAGTTGCAGCTGAGCAAACATATCGGAAACGGACCCAGTGATGGATGGATGGATATTCATAGCTTCTGCGCCCCCTTATTTTCCTTTCCGTTCTCCTTTCCCGTAGAGAAAAGATGGATTATATTTGCTATTTTAGGGTTTGATATCTTTCCTATGCAAGTCTCAATCATAATTAGCTGATTTGTCAGCATTTCTATTTCTGTGGCTGCAGCCAAAAGTCAGAGTTAACTTTTCCAGGATTAGGAACACTCTCATTCCCCATTCCACATTCGCCAGTGAAATGTGAAATTAAATATTCATTTGTGTTGGCTATAAGTTTGACCTGATGACCCGGTTGAGCCTGCCCACGCTGGAGGCATTTATAAACTGCCCTGTCCAGCCCCAAAATCACAATAATCCTGGGAATCCGAGGCCTGGCCTGCAACGTGACTCTAATGAGGGTAATCTGTTCTTTGGTTCTTAGCCAGAAGCCAAAGTTGAAAGGATCTGAAAACTTTGGCAATAAGGCGACACGACACACACACACGCTGTGAACTCGAATCAATCAATCAGAGGCCACAGCCACATCAAAGAGGGAACCAATTAGATCCAGTCAGTGGGGCAAAAGTCGGAACAAAAGTTGGCTCAACTTGTTGATCGAATTACGAATTACGGCCAGAATCCAACACGGCACAATTGGATCACGAACTCACCTGAACGCCCAGCACAATCATGGACAAGTAGAGGTAAACGACCAGCTTCATTGCGACGCCTTTCGCGGGTTGCAGCTGAGGCGTCAAATTGCCAATTGCCTTGGGAGCCGGAGCTTCAACGGGTGTTTGGGAGTGGAGTGCTTTGGAGTGGCGTCTGAGGCCACTTTTCAATTAGCCGACGGCCCAAAAGTGTCGCGTCCGGCCCTGCCGCTTTGATCCTTCGCCTGCCCAGCGGTCCTTAGCCGATTCCAAAGATTAGCAACGGAATCACGCACTCAATAACTTCATTAAAGCGCGAAGTTAACGTCGAAATCACGCAAGGCGGACGGGGACACGCGGCGTATGCTTGATGCGGGTTTGAATTTGGATGAAGAAACCGTTAAGCCGTTAAGCGTTAAGGGACAGAAACCGATGCAGTGCAGGTCTGGTACTGGTGCTGTTCGACTGGTCCAGGACGATGCGTCAACGGTGCCGCACGACGACAGAGTGTTGGCCCTTATCAGTGGCGCATTTCCTTTTATAGCCCCCGTCCTGGCTGTAGTTTTCACTTCTACTGCCGATTCTGAATTCCTCCCGCTGTCATCTATCGATGAACGCTTTGTCTATTGTCCCACGAAAGTTCCATGTTTGGGTTTCCGTTTCAGTTGTTCCACTCATTCACTTTATTTTACCATTTCTACATTCATTTTCCATTCGCTTTGCTAAACGCCATTTGAAATGCTTGCCGCTGCTTTCAAATTCCCCCTTCTGGAGCTTTTTTGGTGAGTTTCAGGCACATCGTTGCCAGCACAGAGAGAACAAGACGCAAAGCTTCTGCGAAAGCTGTTTTTTAACTGAGAAACGACTTTTATTGAAATTAACATAAATGCCTACTTTCAAGGCTGCAGAAATCTATTGGTTTACATAATTACTTATCATAACTTTTGATACGAGTACATTAGTAGTAGGAATAGTCCTACTTCAGGCCCATGTCCAGGGAAGGGGACACGGCCACTGGTATGGGCACGTTTCGCGGATGATTAACGTCGCCTCTATCGTAGTACCCGCCTAGATGTTCCCCTGGAACATGGTAGAGTCCATAGTGCAGACCATTGTTCGCCACCTGTGAAAACAGAGCAAAGCCTTCTTCAGATCTAACCTTAGACCCCAGCGAGACACTTACCCTCTTGAGTCCATTAATGGAGGCCAGCAGCAGAGCCATCTTGGCCAAGAGGAGGGCCTTTCCACTGACTATGGAGAGCATCTGGAAACCCATGGGCACCAGGATAGCCCCTAGAGCGGTGACTCCGAACATCATGGTGATGATCATGTTGTAGCGATGTCTCCTCAGACGAGCGCTTCCCACAGGGTCGGAGGGAGCTCCCTCTGCGATGGAAATGTATCAGAAATCCAGATGGAAATGGAGACTGTTGAACCTACCGCTGCTGAGATAACGATCCGTCAGCTTTCCCAGATTCACTTGAAGCGTGTGCGTGGTTAGGCCCTTGGCCAGGCTGACGGCGAGTTGATCAAACCAGGTGAGATGCTTGAGGTCTGTGCGCTCCTCTCCGGCTCCCAGCGAATGTGCATTGAATGTGGCATTAGGACTGGACACCAGGCGCACTCCCTCATAGAGCGGTATCTCCTGGGCTGCCATGATGTCCTCAAAGATGCGCAGACTCCGCGAGCGAAAGCAGGTCCACAGACTGGGAGACGTTCCAGATCGATAGCACTCCCGCAGATCGCTTCGCAGCTGCCGCAGCTGGGCTATCCAAGACATGCGACTACCCGTATTTGTGACAGTGTCCGATGGGTCATCCGCTTGGGGAGATCCAGCAACAAACTGCTCCAGGAGGCATCCTCCCACCAGCAAAACCAGAACCGCTTTCAATCGCATTGTTTTTCCTTCGAAGTCGGAATCGAAACTGCATCTGCTGCGCCGACGTCCACGCACTTTTTATGGCCCACTGCTGGTCACTGATCGGAGACCGATCTCGTCCAGTGCACCCGGTCATTAGGCCAGACGATGACGATGGACACCCTCTGCTCTTCACTGCCCCGGTCTTCTCTAGTCTGCTCTCTAACGGTCTAACTGGTCTCGAGACCTGGCTTTGGCGGTCATGGTCAACGGGTGCCTTCTATAGTGTGGGCGTGGCAGGTGACTTCGAAACCGAGTCTGAGTGTGGCCGATCCGAGGCGGCCTAGAAAGGTAGCCGATGCCCGCCATGGAATTAACTTGTCATCATCGATTTGCAAATTATTCCCCACAATTCTATTCAATTAGCATAGGGTTGTGGCAGAGGCAGAGGCAGAGGCAGAGGCAGGGTCGTTTGTTTTTGTATTAGCCGCTCGATTGAGTTGGCTTTCAACAGAGACAATCGTTGAGGGACGGAATATCAAGATCTAATATCAACAAGCCTGAGCTAGTTTCTTGAATGGGCAATAGAGGCAACTAGGACGTTCAGACTCTATTCAGACTCAGTACATTTAAGTGGTTTCGTCCACATGCACTATTGATAAATTCCATTTATCTTCCATTTGTAATAAAATAATTCAAAATAATACTTGAACAGCGCACATTTGTTTTCAACATATATTTTATTGGTTTATTCTTTATTAGCTAAGAGGTCATTCATTGCATTTCCTTTGCTTCATAGTTGTTTTAAACAAATTCGTACTAAGATAAGAAGGATTACGCTTCAAAAGTTCCATAGAGTGCAAAAGTTGACGTTCAGTGATTCAGTTGGTAATTGGTAGATAGGTAATTTAGTGGATAGGTAATTTTTAACTAGTTAACAAAGTTTACAAAAAACAGTTCTACACTTTCCTGAATAGAGTCTCCCCATAAAATCTTTAATATATGTACAAACATTTTCTTTTAGTTTTCTTTTTCTTTTGGTTTACGTGTAGGTAAAAACAGTTGATGAGAGCCTACTCCGCAAGCAGCAAGGCTTGATTTTCGGCCCCATTACTCAGATACAATAGTACAATATATTCGGCGAATTTCCGGTTCGATCTTCTGCGCCTCAGTGCTCAGTGCTTCCCTGTGTGGTGTGTGTGTGTGTGTGTGTGTGTGTGTGTGTAAACGCGTCCTAGCAAAAAATATATGCTCCATTTTGTATCTATGTTGCACCACAGCTCTGCCTCCGATCGCCCCCAATCCTGCTGGACAACTCTTGGACTAAGGGGCGCTAGGCAGGCGGTGGCGCAAGTATAATCAGGACCCAGTTGTTGCACCGGGCGTGGCTGTGGCGGCCCCACGACCGAAGCGCGGCAGGTACAGGCCGAACTTGGACTCGACGCCGGCCAGGAGAGGCACTGCCGCCCTGTAGCCTCCGATGTGGTCCTGTGTCCCACTTGCAGCGCTCTCCAGCGTATTGGCGGGCTTGTGCAACTCGGATCCACGCGGTTGGGTGCCGCCAAAGTCCACGTAGAAGAGGCGCTGCATTAGCTCGTAGGTGACGAGGGTGACGCCGAACTGCGGCGACGACCGGAAGACTCGAGCTGGTGAAGAAAAGTAAAGCAGCACATTAGAGTTACAAATATGCAGCTCGACCACGTGGAGATTTTAGTCTTACCTGCTGTGCCCTTCCAGAAGGCACGTGGACCCTCCTCGGCCATGATCTTTTTGGTGGCATCCCAGACACCTGTGTAGGTGGTTTGTCCGGAGCGGGCAACGACCTGAAGGCGCGTCTTGATCACATCAGCGGGCGTGACCAGCGAGGCAGCAGGAACTCCGGCAATGGCTCCGGCGGCCAGCAGGGTCAGCGGGTGGTTGTAGCCGTTCTTGTCGGCCATCATGGCCTTGGTGTGCGCGTAGGTTGGGAAGTAGATAGCCGAGAAGGGCACGTCGCGCAGCAGGCAGGCACGGGCTCCTTTGTAAAGCCCGAAAAGACCCAGCTCCCGAACCACAGACCATGCGCGAATCTTGTTGCCGCTGGCTATCTCACCTGCCACCTGCAGTCGGATTTTGACGATTTCCAGAGGATTGGTGAACACCACTTGGGAGGCGCCCGCACAACCTCCAGCAAGGATCTCGGACCACACCGGGATGTTGCCCCGCTTGTCCGACAGCTTGTCGCGCACCAGATCGTTCACCGTCAGCTTGATGGCCTTCTCCGGCGCCACGCCCATCAGCTGGGGCAGCAAGCCTCGATACAGACCCAAGGCGCCCTCGTGACGAATAACCTTTGGAATACACGGAGAGTGGTTAATGTTGGAGGATGCTCCAGAGAATCACGAGATCAGGGATATTCACCTTTTTGAAGCAGTCCCACGAGTTCCTATAAGCCACCTCTCCGATGTAGGAGCCAGCCCGCTGGTTCTGCATTCTCGTCTTAACCAGATCGATGGGGTAGACCACAGTCGCGCCCACAGCTGAAACAATGGCAAATGGTGGATTATCATCGGGGAATATTGTGTCCAAGGATAGATAGAATACACACCTCCAGCAAAGGAGCCGAGGGTGAAGCGATAGCTGCTCTCCAAAACTTGTATAAAGGCCGAGCGGTCGGCGGGGCTCTCCACGGCTTTGATCTCTGCGAGGCGATGTGTGATATGCTTGGTGTAGTGCTCAGGCGCAATGTTGCTCAGGTCGCTGTAGTCAATGCGGCTGTGGAGAGGATAGATGACCGAGGATTAGTCGAGCTCTTTAAAGTGGGATCTTATAGAGAGGGGCTTATAGACAACGACTGGGTTATGCCTGGGTGGGTGGGAATACTCGGATACTTGGATAACTAAAGCAAAACTAAGACCAGGGACCACTTCACTTGCCTACACGTTGCAGCCTTGCGCTTCTTGCGCTTCCACCACCTGATTTCGAGATGCAACATGGAACAATTTCGGAGAGTGCAGTGCAGGAGGGGAGAAACAGATACAAATACAGAACAGATGGAGAGAAAATATACAAAGATGCAGCGATTAGGACATTTAGATTGACATTCAACGGAGGGATTCCTAAACATTTCGCGGACAGAGGCACTCATTCATCCACTCTCACAATCATTCAGGCAAAACTACAGGTCAGCACATAACGAAGCTCGGGATGAAATCTTACCCTGTCTGCTGCACGGTCCCCGTCAGTTGGAAGAGTATGTCTATCTCTAGGGGCGTGATTTGGCTCATGGTCTGGGCTGCGTAGAGGAGCTGGTCCTTCGTGACTGGCTCGGATCGGTTGCCCTGGGTGGCCTGCAGGTAAACCTGCTTGATCAGCTCCATGTTGTTTAGCAGCGAGGTAAATGCGATGAAGTAGGGGAAGCTCACTTTGTGACCCTCAGTAACCTGCAGTGCAAAGTTATCCATTATTTGCGGAATAATGTATTGAGAAGGGTTCATCTACTAACCGCCACCAGGTTGTCCTTGACGTCGGGCGTGAGTAAATGCCGCTTGACCTTAACTATGATGTCCTGGAAATCTAGGGGGGAAATAAATCCAGTGCCAGCTGGATCCTTGCTGCGGAATGCCTCCATGGCGTACTCCTCGTGGAAGTCGTGCAGCAG